GTTTTTAAATGTTAGCAATGTTTTTATATTAGGATTTGATTTGAAAACCACTCTCTACCAAGTTTTCCATACATTTTTTTTTAGTTTTGGGGATAGTGATGGTATGCACAGTAACAATACAGTAGAGAGTTTTTTAGAATCTGATTCAATTTTGTTATCTTTATCGATCAATTTCTTTCTCATAGGTTTACAAAGTTGGCAAATACGGTTAGCAAAATGTTAAATTTGGCTTTTAACGTACCTAATATCAATAAATATTTGAATTGAGATATTTATCTCATCTTGTGAAAGTCCTGTAAACGTAACCTTTAAATATTGCGTTTAAAGCCATAATTTGAGTGAGGTTTCAGTTAAACATTTGTAATGAGTTTCTTTCTGTTAATTTTAAACTTTTAATTATTTATGGTGTTGCTTATTATGGTTATATCGAGGAAGTTTAGAGTTCAATTTTAACGTTTTTTAATACAAGCTTTATCGTATTTCTATTTTTACACTGCTGTTATCGCTTATTAAACAAAAAGATCCATGAATCGAAGAATTCCGGTCATTCTGATCTTTTATTTATGGTCGCACTATCATGATGAAATTTTCAACGCTTGTTTATTTTATTAATATTTGTGATGAGTGAATGGAATTTCTTTATTAATAAAATTTTAGATTTTGAGTTACCGAGTTTTGTATATTGTATTTTAACTTTTTTTTTTTTTTTTTTTGATGTTACCTAATTCGTTTGTAGTTTTTTGTCGAGTAAAAAAAAAAATTAAAAATCGGCTACCTTCATACCATAAATTTACACATTACAATTAAATTAGTTCTGTAAAATTAAGTGCCGTGTCGCAGTGGTTAGAGCGCTTGCTTTAGAAGCAACAGGGTTTGATGCGAGCTCTGGGCATATTTCACGGCATTGGTAAGAAAGGAGGCGTGAACTTCCTATTTAAATGCTTTTCCGCGGCGCTCTGCGACATGAGCGTTAGGCTTCCTTGGGGCACCTAAAAAATAAAACAACCTAAAAGATATTTTATCATCACTCCTTTACTCATTTTTCCTTTTTTTGGTTACCATAACAACAAGCCATCTTTTTTGAAAATATCTTTGTATTTTGAATGTTAGTATAATATTTTTTGAGCGACTCATAAAAAAGTTATTTTATTTGTGTTATTTCTAGGTCTGAGGGTATTTGGCGCTTAAATGTCATTACTCCACCTCTCCACACATTTGTACCATAGTACCCTCGTTTTAGGATAAATGCTAAATAATACGTTGATTACGGAAAATAAACTTTACACTACAGTTTTTACAACAAAACGTATCCTCTGCTTATTACATTTGCTTGTGGTCCGCAAGACAAAACAAGACGCGAATTAAGTGAAAAGATGAAGATTGAGCGTAACGCTGGAAAATATGCTGTTATTGAGTTCGATAAGTTAATAGTGAGAGAGTGTAATCTAAAAGCTATATAAGTAATTTTAATTTTTATTTGTTTAAAAAATTGTATAAAACCATGCATAAAAATGGAGCAAAACTCTATATTTCAATTTTCTAATGAAAGTATTAATGATAATGACTGAAACAGACTGTTTTGACAAATTGAATTTTGAAAGAAAATACTACTCAGTTTGCCAATCTGCACAATATCTTAAAAATAATAAAAACGCATTTTGAATTTTAAATATTAACATCCGAAGTCTAAATAAAAACTTTGAAAATTTAAAAATTTTATTGGACGAAATAAAACATGATTTTAGCTTTATTTTTTAACAGAAACTTGGTGTAAATGCGATGAACAAAGTACACAGTTTATTTAATTAATTACACGTCAATTCATCAACCACGTGATAGTTATGGTGGCGAAGGCGTTAGTATTTTTGTCCACAACTCAATTAATTTTTTCCCTCGTAATGACCTATGCATTAATAAAATAGACTGTGAGTCAATTTTATTAAGACTGTGAGTCTATTTTATTAATGTCTTTTTTATTATAAAGTTCAATGCACAATGCATTGAACTTTATAATAAAACTACAAAAAACATAATCGTTAATTCTATTTATAGAAAACCATCTGGAAGCTTAAAAAAATCTCACTTAAACACTAAAACTCACTTAAACACATTTTTAACTAAAGTCAATAAAGAACGGAAGCATATTTACGTTGTCGGCGATATCAATTTGGACTTGTTAAAACAAACTTCAAATAAGATTAAGCATTTTATCGATAAACTTTTTCAACAAAATGTCATTCCAACAATAAATAAGCCAACCATTAACTAAGAGTTCTTCTACTTTACTTGATAATACAATTACTAACAATTTTTATAAGAGCTATATTTTCACAGGTATAATCAAAACAGACTTATCGGATCATTTTCCTACTTTTTTAATAACTAACAATATAACAATTAATAATATTTCTTCTAAATAGATCAATAAATACTCGGTAGGTCAATAAATACTCCTCACAAAAATTTCAACACCTTTTAAAATATAACGTTTATTGGGATCTTATAATGCAATCGGTAGAGGTAAATAATGCCTATGAACTATTTCTTAAATTTTTTGTGAGCAATATGAAAAAGCTTTTCCTGAGAAAAAAATTGTTATAAATACCAAGTCATTTTAAGCTCCATGGATGTCTAAAGTTTTATTAAAATCTTCAAAGAAAAAAAAAAGTTGTATGAAATATTCTTTAAAAAAAACGTATAAAAATGAAACAAACTACAAACTTAATAAAAATATATTTGAAAAAACTAAACAATAATCAAAAAAAAAAAAAACTATTTAAAGTTGTTAAAAAAAAACTAACAGAAATGCCAAAAAGACGTGGAACGTAATTAAAGAACTTATTGGCAGAAAAAATAATGGAATAAGTATTCAACCAAAGAAACTCTTAGTAGATGGTAAAATAATATAAGACAAATCAATAGTAGCTGAAAATCTAAACAACTTCTTTCTAATATTGGTCCAAACTTAGCTGAAAAAATTTCACCAAGTTCATCATCACATGACTCTTAGTTAAAAACATATGATAAGGTCATGAACGAATCTAAACTAGATATTAATAAGTTACGATCTGCGCTAAATAATCTTAAAAACAACACAAGTGTAGGTTTTGATAATATTAGCATAAATGTTGTTAAATCAGTTTTTCATATTATAGAAACCTCTTTACATCACATTTTTAATCTTTCTCTTCAATCTGGTACAGTTCCAGAAAAATTAAAAATTGCACGAGTCTTGCCTATTTTTAAGTCTGGCGATGACACGGATTCTTTAAACTACAGACCAATATCAGTTTTACCATGCTTTTCTAAGTTACTCTAACGTACAATGTATAATAGGCTAAACAGCTACTTAGTAGTAAATAACATAATGTACAACAGGCAATTTGGCTTTAAAAAAAATCATTCAACTGATCACGCTTTGACCGAGTTAGTAACTCATGTAACCAATGCCTTTAATGATGACCGTTTTACAATACGAGTCTTTATTGATCTGTCTAAAGCCTTTGACACAGTCAACCATGTCATTCTTTTAAAAAAACTTGAACATTATGGAATAAAAAATAATAATTTACTATGGTTTAAAGAATACTTATCAAACAGACAGCAATACATTCAATATGAAAATGTTAAAACGACAAAAAGTATAATAAAATGTGGAGTTCCTCAAGGCTCAATCTTAGGACCGTTACTGTTTTCTATTTATATAAATGATCTATATCTTACCTTGAACCTTTTAAATTTTATTTTATTTGCGGATAACTCCAATCTGTTTTATCCTGATAGGGATATTAAAACTTTCTTTAAATTAGTTAATGAAGAAGTAAACAAAGTAAACGAATGGTTTATTTGTAATAAACTTTCACTTAACGTTTACAAAACTAAGTTTATTCTATTTCACAAACCAACCAAAACAGGAAACCTTCCTTTAAAAGTACCCAATCTTAAAATTAATAATATAAATATTACTAGACAAACAATTGTAAGCTTCTTAGGTGTTATTTTAGATGAAAATTTATAATGGAGGAAACATTTAAACACTCTTGAAAGAAAGTTTTCAATAAACATTGCAGTGATGTATAAAGCAAAACCATTTTTGGATATAAGATCTTTAAAAAGTTTATATTTTTCCTTTATACATAGCTATATAGTTTACGGCAAAATCGTATGGGAAAGCACCAGCTATGCTAAGTTAAAGAAAATTTTATACTAAACAAAAACATGCATGTAGAGTTGTATTTGGAGCAAAAACAACTGTGTCTTGTGAGCCACTTCTACTTAAACTCAATGCATTAAGTGTGTTTAAAATCAAAATATTCCTCGTCTTACAGTTCATTTATCAAATAAAGCATGGACTGTCTCCAACGATATTCTATCCTTATTTTAGAGAAGTAAGCCATAAATATTCCACCAAGTTCTCGGAAAATAACTTTGTAGCTAGGGAATTTTGTCACGTGACATTTTATCGCGGAAAAAAAATACTTTGTTATTGAAAGACTTCGTCCAAAAAACGTAAGAAATAATTTTATGTAGGTGTCGAAAAATAAAAACTTACGCATGAAAATTAATAGTATATACGTATATATACGTATATATGGATGTTATTTTCTTCAGAAAAAAGATGTACTACAATAATTTGTTTGGGGATGACGTTTTACTTTAAAATTTATAAAGTTATTTAATTTTAATTGTTTCAGTTTTGTTTAAATACAAATTAATTAAGATAATTCTTTCGTCCCGGAATAAAAATAGATTCTGCAACTATTTATTTATTATGTGAATAAGTTTTAGTAATTTTTTTTTGTAGTTTAATAGGTTGGATTTTTTTTTTCTAAGTGGAGATTTTTTTAATTTCCCCTGTCTTTAGATATTAGTAATGAAAATTTGCCGTTTTTCTTTAACAAGATTTTTTCACACATTGAATTTTTTTTTTTTTTTTTTATATAGCTAAGAATTTATTACAAATTTTTACTATTCTAAAGTGGGTTTATTTGTTGTTGTTGTTGTTGTTGTTGTTGCTGCTGCCAACCAGTTAGTAGTTTAATTACAACAGTTTATCAGTAAGTCTTATTTATAACTTTTAATTTACTTTTTTTACAATTAACCTAATTATAAAATTATATATGTGTGTATGTGTGTGTGTGTGTGTGTGTGTGTGTGTGTGTGTGTGTGTGTGTGTGTGTGTGGTGTGTGTGTGTGTGTGTGTGTGTGTGTGTGTGTGTGTGTGTGTGTGTGTATACCAATCATAAATACTTTCATTGATCATTTTATTTAAATAAATATAGATTTTCTGAAATAAATAAGTCATCATTTCGAACAAAAATATAAATTTTTATAAACTTAAAGTATTTATTGAATGATCAATAAAATATTTAACTAATTTAAATTTATTTCAAAGTCTTTTTCTTATTTTAAATTATATATATATATATATATATATATATATATATATATATATATATATATATATATATATATACATATATATATATATATATATATATATATATATATATATATATATATATATATATATATATATATATATATATATATATATATATATATATATATATATATATATATATATAGTTAAATAATTTATTGACGATTAAATAAATACTTTGAATTTATATAAATTTATATATTTGTTCGAAATGATGACTATATTTATTTCAGAAAATCTATATTTATTTAGATAAAATGATCAATGAAAGTATTTATGTTTGGTATTTAACATTAAAAGATATATCTTATATTACAGATTTCAATGTTTTGATGCAAGAAAGATAGCCAAAATGCTGCTGCAAGAAAGATTACCCAAAAAGATTAATAGATTAGTTGACACCATCAAAAAATTAAAGAAACAATGAAAAATTATTATTAAAAGTTGTTAGGTGTAGCTTTTTTTCCACCTGTGGCAAATTTTTTTAATAATACAGTGAATGCATCTGAAATTCCAAAAGAAACAATACTAATAAGCAAAAACAAAATGCTTAAAAAAGAAAGGAAAATTTAAAAAAAGAAAATTGTCATGAATAAAAAATGGATTACTTTACACATCTGATAGATTTTTAAGATGTGCAATATTAAAGATCGGCAAAATATAGAAGAGCTGTTAAAGGCAAAAGGGTCAACTAAATATTTTATCGTGCAGTCATAGAATGTGACAAAAAAACTATTTTGTAAAACAAAGGTAAAAGGAAGCAAAATAATAAACTTTTCTTCGGATGAATTATTTTAAAATCTCCTTATTGTCATTCAAGAAAATTTAACACCAAACAACCAATCTTTAATTAATATAAGTAATAATTGTGATGCAGTTGTTAAAAGCAAAAAAAAAATTATTGGAAAAAAATTAATAGAGCAACAATAAAAAACATTCTTTATCAAAATTTATTAACAATCCATCTGATTTTATTGATTTTGAAAAAGGTGATCTTATTCATTTTAGCTAGGATGTGAGGTAATTTTATTCAAAAAGGTGATCTGATTCATTTTAGCTAGGATTGTGAGGTAATTTTATTTAATAAAAATTTAGAATTATGTTGTAGTTCCAATAATTGTTATGTTCCAATAATTTGTTTTTACTGCATTTGAGTACAGTGGTTTTTATCTTTATAAATGGTATGAATCATATCTGATATGTTTATATGAACCAATTTGTTTAATTTAAAGATATTTTTATATAATATGTCAATATTTTTATCTCTATGCTTAACTGCACATTATTATAAATATTAATAAAAAATCTTTATCCAAAATTACTATTACTTTTACATAAACTGCCTATTAAATAAAGTAAAGAATCCAGAAATGGAAGGCTAACCTTAGGTAACATGATGATGGAGTGCAAAGTCCAATGGCTTACCTTCTCGTTGGTGCACTTCGTTAAGTAAATTAGACAATTTTGTCTAATTTATGAACGGAATAGCCAAGGCAAATTTTGTAAAAAATTGCTTGATGTGGATGTATATATTATTCTTTATATATATATATATATATATATATATATATATATATATATATATATATATATATATATATATATATATATATATATATATATATCTGTGTTTGTACTGTTAGAATGAGCGATCAAATTTTTTTAAATTATAATAAAAACTTAGAGAAACATTTAGAGCTGCCCGCTATCCTCTAATTTTTTTTAACAGTAGGTTATTCTTATTTTAGAGTAGCCTACTCTGAAGTTTGAATTGCAGTTCAGTAATAAAAAATTTTTTTCAGTAAATTTAGCAAAGATTTAAATGAATTTTGAAAATTTAAAATTCTGAGATCAAGTAATTAGCTTCATATAGACAAATTTGGATACGTTGATAATACAATCTTTTTTTTTTCGAAGACAAAACAATTTAAAAATTTAAGTTATGTTCAAAAAGTTCAAAAAACTCTACTGTTAAAAAATTTTATTAAAATTTGGTTAACGCAAAAAAGTTTTTACGCAAGAGAAAAAAATCATTAAAAAGTTTTTTTTTCGGTGCCAAAAATTTAACAAGATACTTTAAGAAAATATTTCAAATGCATTTAAAATAAAAAATGTTTACATTCGCTATAAAAGTTACCTAAACTCCCTATTGTAACTCAAAAATCTAAAGTTATTATCTATTCAGTACCAAAGACCAATTTTGTGGAAAAATTTTCAGCATATTGTTAATATTAAATAAAAAACATTTCCGCAATTCAAATCTAAATAAGAAGTTATTTAGTACATACGGATTTTAGTATAGCATATTTTCTCTGTCACTTTTAAAAGTTTTTAAACTAAATTTGCATCATAAATTTAAAAATCTAGATCATTTAATAAAAGAGCAGAGTCAATATTAAGAGTTTCTATGTCTTTATCATACTTTCATTGAAAATATTTACTCTTGAAGTTACCTACAATTTTCTTTGATATATTTTATGATATTGGAACAGAAACTTTATCATTTTAATTCCGAATTATTTTGAAAAAATATAACATCTTAAAATAGTCTTTTTTTTAAATGCTGTTGCTTATATATTACGGATTATTATATTTTACGGATATTTATTTGCGTTACTATTGAGGCTAGGTGATAAGGCTAATTAGGGACTTTCATAAGGAGTGGTTTCGGCATATGAGATTTTGACGCCATCTTTATAGGGGATAAATGTACATAAACAAAACCAATCTCAGTTGTTAAGAGAATGTTTTTTTCAATTAAGAAGATACAATGGATAATTTTAAATAAAAAATGATTTTATAAAATGATTTTTAGACCATTGCTTATCTACAAGTTGTAATCTACACGAGTTGTGGATCAGAATATATAAATTTAAACAGTATCCTTATGCATAAAAACCAAAAAAAAAGGCATAATAACGTTTTGTAGTCGAAGTTTTCTTGGATTCTACAAGCACCCCGCCTTCAACTATCTCTTTAATCAGAGAAGACTCAATGTATCATTCTATCACTTCATCTATTTTTAAAAATTATACTTTGATTATAAGAGAAAGCAGTTTAGACAGCCAGAAAAACTGTGACTTTTAAAACGGATTTTAGTTCACGTTGCTTGTTAGTTATAAAAACTTTATGGAGAAAAATTCTTCCTGCTGCAGTTTTATTTAAAGACAAAATTCCACCGATATTTTATTTTGAATTGCTGGTTTCAATAATGTTATTTTTGAATTATTGGTTTCAAAAAATGTTGATAAGTCCTTTTATGGTTATTATTTATAAAACACTTTCATGAAGCAAAGGAAAAAATATCATGAGTTCAAAAATGATATTGTCAAAGTAAAAGGCTTATTTTCTATGACCCTGTCTGGCCAAATCAAACTTATATCAGTTTAAAAAGCTTTTTGCTTTTAAAAAAATGAACACAAAACAGTTATTATCATAAACCTAGAAAATTAGAAATTCCAGAGAGATGTTATAAAAATAAAAAATAATATAAAGTCAAAAATGAAGGAAACAAACTTTCGAATCGCATTGTTGCAATGTTTTATCTTCACGTGTAAAATCTACATTACTATCTCAATATAAAAATGCGTCGTTATTATGTTAAAGAAAACTAAGCTTATAATATATACTATATAATATAATATATAACTGTACTTCTTCAGATCACAAAAAGTTTACTTTGAGAAGTAATATTACTTGCATAATGGAAAAAAAAAATTATACTGCTACAAAATCTACTAAAAACATTATTTTACTAAAATTGTTATATAAATAACAAGAAATGTGTTCAAACAAAGAAAATAATTTTTCTATCTTTTCAACTTATTTACAATGATATTCAGCAACACATACAAAGAAATTTAACTGAAATATTACCATTCAGAAAATATACATAACTGATCCTATTAAATATATAGATTATATTAAAATTTAGAAAAATTCAGACTCACGGCTAAACAAAGTAACTTGAGTCGAAATTCTTGTTGTGCGTATTCTGGAAAAAATTCAAAAGCCTAATGTACCACACTAACTTCCACTATCTGGTATTAAATAATATAGATATGTAAATATTGCTGAAAAAATACAACTTCCATGTGCTGAAATATCATTATGCATCTAATACCATAATACTTATTCAGTTTGTGTATTATTATAGTGAGGAAACTCAAGAGTGCTGAAAGTAAAATTTGCAGTTCGAAATTGAGTCTAGTCTATAGTCATTTAAGTTTAAGGATGTCCATCCTTGAAAAATATTTTGCGAATTCTTTTTCGATAAATTGGATAATTTGGTTGAAGTACAACATTGTCAAATGGCACAAAATACTATCCATGCAACAAAAAATATTAATTGTGCATTTGGAAACTGGTAAAACATGGGCCATAACAACCAATGTATGAATACAAGTTATTAAAAATAAAATAAGTTAGTTATTTTATCTATAGCTCAATTACCGGTGCCTTTAAAATCTTAATACACAATAGTAAATATGGACTACTAATATCAAATAAAACATTGCAGTTAGATAAAAGGTATTTTCATTATAAAAGATTATTTTTGATTAATGTATTAGGTTTTAATAACTTTGTTGATAAAGATTTACTTTTCACTTTTAATAATAATTGATTATTAAATTTTGGGAAAACTTTTACTTTTATAGATCTTATTTTATTTTTCTAGTATCTTTTTGCATTACTTTCTTCTAGTCTTTCATTTAATGGTTTATTTTTTTATAATGAAAAAAATAAAAATTACTTTGTCATTATATTAAGATATTTTGAAATTATTGTTTAAGAAACCTTTGAGATAATAGGAAATAGTAGGAGTTTCTTGAAGATTTGGGTTGTTAGCAATATCTAGTTTTATTGTATATTTATTTATATCTATTGGAACGTTTTAGTTCGTGTATGATTAAAGAATTAACTAATAATAATTAATAACAGATTAAATTAATCTGCTTGAATTCAATTTTTCATTTTTTGCATAAACTTTTATGAATAACATACTGTATTATTGATATATGTTATAGATGTTACCTATATCTGAATTCAAATTAATCCGTTCGACCAATTTATGGAAGTTAAGAAAATTGAACTAAAACAAACTATTATCAAATAATACTTTATTTAAGTCCCATCTCCTTTTTTTTTTGTACCAACGTTATTGTAACATAAACACGAAGTATAAAACCACTTGATATTGTTAATATCTTTGTAATAATAGTTATTTCAACAATAAACACCCAAATTTTGACTATCAAAGTCATTTACAAAATTTAAAACAACGAAAAACCTTTTAGTTGAGTGTTGCTCAGGTCTTTCCAAAATGCTTTAGGTACAGGACTTGAGTAAAGAGCTTGCTTAAGCAACAACCACGATAATATTTGTAAAAAAGATGACATTAGATACAATTAAAAATGTCATAATAATAGTGTTTTTAGTCTATTTAAATTGTTTTTCGAAAAGAACCAGGAAAACCAGAAGATAAAAAGAATTTATACATTCTGCGAACAGAGTGTAAGTTATTTTTTAAATTCTTTTATCTCAGAAATGAACGTTTTTCTAATGATATTTTTGTTCAATATAGAAGTTTCAGAAACAATGGAAAAAGGAATTTTTTTTTACTAGAAACAGCGTTTGCTGTAAATTTGTTTAAGTTATTCTAGAACCAACATCTAAAAATAAAAGAAACAGAAGGCTGGAAGAGTGAATTAATTATCATCTGGACCAATAACAAGTGCGGGATTTCCCCACTTTTCCAGTCTCACAAAGAGAATAGAAAAACCAACAGAAAAACCGGACAAAGGTTTTAGCTACATTTTATATTAATTGCCTAAAACTTCCACGAGTTGATTTGCCTGATGACGCAAAGGTTATATAAATTCTTCAATGGGGTGGAAAAGAAAATTAAATTATTCTTGAAAAATATTTGAAGTTCAGGGATAACATTTTTTCGCAAACTAGTAGAATCAAAGTTTAGGGTTTTTAAAATCTAAGCTACATGATGGTTATTTTAAAGGTGGAGTATCTTTAAACTTGCTAAAATATTTTATTTGTTAAAAAGTTACGACCCTCCTAAAAAACAGATCTATGACAAAGGTCTAATGATGGCCTGTATATAACAGAAATATTTAGAAATTTAGTCTTACATATGCAAAATAAAGCCTTTTTATTTTAATATTTTTTGTCTAACATCACGAGTTAAAATCGTTAACGTTTTGACCTTCTTACAACTTTCCATTCTTTATCTTCATCTGTTTCCATTTCCATACCTAAACGAGAAAGAAAACATTGCATATATTTTGCCCACTACACTCCCAGTTAAATAACGACGAAGGGTATCACTATACATTTGTGAAATAACTTTATCTTCCATTATATCTATGAAGTAATTTTACTAAAACATAATAAACTCTTTTGACAAAAAAAGCTCTAGGTTTGTAAATTAATGATTACATATTGGTAGAGTCGTGCGGCGGCATGGAACAATCGATCGTTCCGGACACAAGGAAGACAAAGGCGTCTATCAAATATTTTGTTTGCTATTTTATTTTATTACTATAAAAGCTTTTACTAATAATTAAGTGTAATGTAATGTAATTTTTATAAGGACGACGATACTGGTATTTAAATGTAATGTTAATTTTATGAGGGTATGTGCTCGTAATATGTATTTTCATTTAGAGTCGCAGGCGAATTTAAATAAAAACACATTTTGTATAAAAAAATTTTTACCTACAAAAAAACCTTTTAATTAAATTAAATTTCGATTGTCGAATGTTTGTTAATATAATTTTTGAATTTCGAATGGGTACCAATTATTAATATTTCTAATACAACCAATAAAACTTAGAAATTCAAAATTCCTGAGCAATAAGAACTCCATGTAATAGATCTAAAACAACACTGACATGTTCGAAAAAAAAAAATCTAGCTCAAGTTAGTTTCAGCATGCTTTTATGTCACGCTGTGTCGTCACGACGTGACAATTTTTGCGAGAAATCTATGATTGTTAACCTGAAGCCACAAATAAGGCTTTATGAACTTTGATTACCCAGATTATTCTGTTACCAACGTTTGACATTTTTAGCACTTCGTTCAATGTTTTATTACCTAAAAATGTTCAATAAAGGTATGTTTTACATAAGTAACATTTGAAGGATGAATAATGATAGAACAGTTATCCTTGAAGCTCTCTATTAGGGTACATAGATCCTTTTAAGGGATAGTTGTAACCCCATTGTGTCAAAGATGAGTTTTGCCGTTGAGTAAGCTCATGCTTACTCAAAAAAAGAATCAGGAAAGGCGATTGGAAAAATATGGTCAAAATGTTGAGCTAAATCAGCACAACCAAAATCAATCAGAACGAGAGATGATTTTGGTAGCTTTGATGATTTTGGTAGCGCTGTTGTACAAAAACATTTAATAAAAAATAATGAAATCCCTCGTTCAGAAACAAAACATAGTAAATGAGCATTAGATACTTCAACTGCACAACCGATTGACGGTTTTAACCAGCGTGATGATATATTCTGTTAAGGACCAGGAAAACAAGTCACCATTGTAGTAAGATCAAAGGACAAGAAAGAAACTTTTCAAAAGCATTAATTGTCTAATTATGTTAGTGAGGCTTATACTCTTTTTAAAGAAGATTATCTTGAAGAACTAAAGTTTGCATGTTTACGCCCACCAAATGTGTTTTTGTCTAGTTTAATACTGAGAAAGGTTTGTGGTTGTCAACAACACCAGAACATATCGTTGAAGCCATACCCTTAAAATGCTGCACAAGTTTGATTTAATTTTTCCATTGTATTCACATAAATTTAATCTTAACATTGTATGCGATAGAAGTACAAATGAAATTTGCTATAACATCATATATACAACATACTGCAACAAGATGCTGCAAAATTTCATAATTATTAAGCTTTAAGATTTATTTGCTGCAAAGCATTAATGAAACAATAGAAATGCAATCCTATTTAAGTACAAAGTACTTAGTAAAAAAAGTGGATGTCTCCATATAAAATCAACAAAAAACGTTGTGTATATGAATTTTACAATGACATAACATGGATATTATTTTGGTGACTACATAAAAACTGTATTTATGATAATAATTTTCCTAAATAATAATAACCTTATAATTATAATAATAATAATAATAATAATAATAATAATAATAATAATAATAATAATAATAAATAACCTATAAATTGACTTATCATTTCTCTAATACCTATACTATGTTTTAAATTTATCAAAAATAGCCCATTAACTTTGTTTATTAATACCCAAAATCTTTTAATCACGTTATGATGTTTACTACTAATTGATTGAGAGTATGTTTTAGAATTTTAATTTATAAATAATCTTTAGATTGTAATGCTGTAACATGTTGTCATGCTGTAACGAGCGTGGAATTGCTCATGTACGGATTGAATTAACATACATTTACTTGATACTTTTTACATATAGAAAACAACTTGTCAATAACTATTTTAACAGTGTATATCTGAAGAATTAAAATCAATAAATTTTGTTTATCTGAAGAGTTAAAATGTTATTAAAAGCAAAAAGCAAAAAAAAAAAAAAACTGTCCAAAACCATTTAAAAGCAAGTAATGGATTATGCAGATAAAAGTAATGAGGTTTTAAAGTTAATTTTATAGCGGTAGCTTAATAGCCTACAGAATGATTGACACTTAATAAAAAACGCAAATATATAAATGATGATAAATTATAAAATCTTGGATTGAGCCATATTCATTGATCTGCACCTACTGAGGTATGTGCAGAACTAAGTAAAAAGAGGCTAGAAGAACTTAATATAGCCTTGTTAAATATCGTCTGCATAACATCAGACGAAGTTGCTTTTAATATGAAAACGGTAAAATTACTCTTAGGTGCTTAATACATGGGAGGGGACGTTTATTAATTTTCAGAAACTTTTCTCACCCACCCACCATAAGCCACCTCCACTCACCCTAACCCACCTCCACCCAAAACCACCCACAAAAATTAGGTTTTCGTTTATTTCTCACCATATTATAAAACTCATATAAGCATATTAAACCTTGAAATAATGATGAAAAAGCTGTTGAAAAATTCAAATGCAAGCTACACTAAAATTAAATTATTTTATTCATTTTCTATAAAAAATTTCCACCCCTCCTTTTATTCCAACATTAAGCATTACATATATTACATTACAACATTATATATATTGTCTTGTACATGGACTACAATTTGTTAAAACATTTTGCAGATTTTTATTGAGGTGTACCAATTATCTAAATATTTATAATAACCTAAATCTAACAAACCATTATTCTTACTCATTATTGATAATGATTTTAGATGCATGGTAATCTTCATCATAACTGTCTATTCTTAATGTGTTATAAAGAATAAGTAAATATATTCCAGAAAAAAAACAGTAGCTGCTTTGTTAAAAACAAATTCTATCCAAAGCTCTTTTTGTGCAAATAAACTGTTTCCAGCATATAAAACTCTCCCGCAAGAGCAAAGATTCATCAATCAAAATTTCATAGTTAATTAAACTTGATTAGATTAGACTTAAACTTAAAAGCAGCTGTTTAATTAAAGCATAAGGCTAAATAGTACCGATTTTTGCAGAATTATTGTAATTTTTTAATAATTGCAATTCATAAATTTTTAGAATACCAGTCATGTCTTGGTTTGTGCAATAAGTAACAATATATTAGTACAGCTACGTACATTCGAATGTAGCTAGATGTTGTGTCTTCCCATTTTGAAAGATGTGATGTCTTATAGCATACTTTGATCATTTTGCATTGATCTGCATACTTAAACAGAAATAGTCTCAGTGACACCACCTTTGATCAACTTGAACTGAAACATTTATAATCTTATCATTATCATTTTCAGAGTAGATATCTGTACCATAGCATTATCATCTTTAGAGGAGATATCTATGCCATCTATCATTATCATCTTCATTAGAGATATATGTGCTATCTATTATTATCATTATTATTAGCCTACAGAATATTGATTTTAATAATAATGACATCAAGTCATTATTATTAAAATCTAAAATTCCATCGTCATTTTCAAACATAAAATCAACAATTTCTTCTGTTGAGTTCAGTTTAACATCACAAAAAAAAACAGTGTTAATGAAAATTTAAACTGAATCAGTTACCCTAACAGAAAATATATATGAGCTTAAAATTTCAACAGAAGTATGTATGTATAGAAGTATATTATGTATATACAGGGTGGCCACTCAAACTTGAAAAAGAAATTCCATGAATTTTCCATGACTCTTCATAAACTTTAATGATAAATCACTAGAATAAAATATTCAGTACTTTCCATGCACTAAGTATTTGCAACTTAGTCATTATAAAACATGCAAACTAAAAATTAATTGGTAGAAAGTTCTGAAAACATGTCAGAAAAAAACTTTTTTTTTTTTTTACTTCTCTGATAACTTACACTGCAAAAATATCTTTTTCAAAAAAGACTTGGACTAGACATACTTGAACTTTTTTTTGCATCCCACAAGTAGAAAAAAATAAAGATCATTTTTAAAAGTTCCATGAATTTTTCATGACTTTTAATAAAAATTTAGGAATTCCATGACTTTTTCCAGGACCAAATAAAAATCCATGAAATTTCCATGATTTCCATGACCAGTGGCCACCCTGTATATAAATATGTATATAAATTTTAAGCTCATAATATTAATTATGAGCTTAATATTTCTGCAGAATGAATGGTTTGGTTGTACGCCACGAGGTTTGGTATCGTAAGTGTCACACTAGTTCAAATAAATACTTGTGTTTACATAAAGATTGCAACAAAAAAAAAGAACTAGCATGTTGTTTTAAAGGGAAAACAACATTTTTAGACATGTTATACTGTTTAACTCTTGTTTTCAGCTAAAGTATTTTTGACAATTATGACATTTTTATTATAAGCGGCAATTTGACAATTATGACATTTTCAGCTAAAGTTTATTTGTGACATTTTCAGCTAAAGTTTAATTGCTTAACGGCAATTTGACAATTATGACATTTTCAGCTAAACTATTGTACAATAAAACCATTTTGTACTATGTAGAATTTAGTAATAGCATTCAGAAACACTTAAATGAATCAGATTTGGATTCAACATCATTATTGTTCAAACCAAATATATATTCTCATAAAAAAAAAACTTTATACTCCTATTAATTAAAAAAATAATACAACTCAGGGAATGTCAGTTTTAGAAGAAAAAACAATGAAGAGCTGACAGAAATAATAAAAAATAATTAGATTTTGACAAGAAAATACATACATAGGAAGTACATTTAAATGGTTTTTAATAATTTGTAGATCATTCATTCAATGTGTCAAACTTGAAAGAGTATTTTCAGGAGCTTGACTGTTTTGCACTAAAATTAAATCTCAAGTAGGAGATGAGGTGTTGAATAAGTTTAAATAACTTTTGAAAAAGTTATTTAAACTTATCCCAAGAGAGGTGGTAGAACTTGTAGGAGAGATGTGATCCTTCTTAACAACTTTATTTCCTTATTTTAAATAAAAATTTTAATTCAATGTTAAATTGTAATACAAATTAGGTAAGTTGTACTTTTACATGCTCTACGTGTTAAAACTTCCTTAGCCCATAAGTTAACATTATCTGTTAACTTAACAAGTTTAAATTTATCAGTATTTTACTGGAATACATTATTTCAATTTTCATTTATTGAATTAGTGGTATATAAAAGTCTCTCTATATATATATATATATTTTTTTTAACATCTTCGCTTCCAACAAGGCTGCAAGCAACCAATAATTAGTGTTGGAAGTTACTGGAAAAGAAAAGATGAAGATTGTAGAGCAAAATAACGATTGACAGACGACTTAAAAGATTGCAAATTATATGAATCAGGAAAGCAAGATGAAGGAAACGAATTCCAAAGAACTGATGTTCGAGGAAAAAAACTAGATGAATAAGAGTTTTTGGAGCACATAGGAACAGTAACAGAAAAATGATGAGACTTAATTGAACGACGAGTAACACGAGAATGAATTTTTGTAGATGGCAAAAGAGACGCTAGCTCTTTAGGGCAGTGCCCATTATAGTATTTGTAGAAAAGAGAAAGAAAAGCAACATTACGACGATGTGACAGAGGTTGAAGGTTGGCTGCAAGAGTAGGTTCAACTATGTTTACAATGCGTTTTTGCACCTTGTCTAAAAGAGTAAAGGGCATCATTAGAAGATCCACCCCAGATATGGCAACAGTATTCCATACAAGGCCGGATTTGAGATTTATAGAGATAGAGAATAGAATCCAGAGTAAAAAAGTGACGAGCTCGATAAAGAGAAGCGACTTTAGCAGATGCTAATTTTGCAACGGATTTGATATAAGGTTTCCAAGAAAGATCAGAAGTAAGAGTTATATATTTCCAACACAAGTAAAGGTGGTGTGTGTGTGTGTGTGTGTGTGTGTGTGTGTGTGTGTGTGTGTGTGTGTGTGTGTGTGTGTGTGTGTGTGTGTTCTCATAATTTAAATATTTATAAAAAAGTTCTCATAAGAACTTTTTGATAAATATGTAAATTTACAAAAATGTGTATTAAATAGATAAACTAATAACAAAAACATTACTAGATATAAAGTAAAAGAAAAGAATTAAAATAATGAAGAATTAAAAATTGATAAAATCTCATAAGCATTTCAAATTATATTTTATAATTTGATCCCCCCTCCATCAAAACTCATAGTGATCAAATTAAACATGTGAAACGTCAAAAAAAAAAAAAAAAAAAAAAGTAGAGATCTAAACCTATTGCTTGGTTTATCACTAAGGACAGTAGTATGATCCAGTTCAAGTCAAAACTTTAATTCTAGACACTGAAGCAAATTTACCTTGTTCTTGTTGTATATTGTTTTCGCTAATTAATTCATTCCCATTTGGAACCTGCATATAAATGTTTTTATATTACTAATAGAATACTGAGATAAACTATCACATTAATAATTAAATATAAATAATACCCTTTCAAAATTCTGACTGTTTATTTCTTCTTCGCTTTCATCACTTTCATTGCAAACTGCTATCACTGCTGGTGCCCTTCTTGCCAGAGATCCTAGTTTATTTAACTCTTCATGAACTTGTTGATACTGCTGGTTAACACACATATCATAAAATCCACATAATTGTTTGCAGAGCTATATAAAAACGATTAACACGCTATCATTAAATCTACATAATTGTTTGAGAGAGGTAAAAGATGTAGGAGAGATGTGATCCTTAACATCTTTATTTTTATATTTTAAATAAAAATTTCAATACAATGTAAAATTGTAATACAAAATAGGTTGTACTTTTACAAGTTCTATGTGATAAAACTTCCTAAACCAATAAGTTAACATTATCTGATAACTTAACAAGTTTAAAATCATCATATAATCAACAGATATCATGCGATTATAATGGTATGACAAACTGGCATCACAGCAAAAAATAAATGTTATTTATGTTGCATAAATAGGATCAAAAACCATTTTTTAAATGCAAATAAAGAAGTTACATGTGCACGATTAACTTTAACTATTAAACTATGCAACCCTCAGAATAAGGGTCCGCATTCAGCAATGCTGACCTAACTACCAATCTGGCGATGTTTAAGGTCGGCATTTTTTTGCCAACCTCATTTTTTTATATTTGTTTATGTTTTTTTTTTATGTAAATTATTTTTGATTTAATTGATAATGTTATAACAAGTTTGTAATAAAGCTAGAACAATATTTAAAAAAAGATTTAAATTTTCATTAAAATTCATGTAACTCGTTGTTAGTGAAACATGAAATACGTCACAAAATACACATTGCTCGTTTTTAGTGAAAATTTAATTTTCACTAAAAAAAATTACACTGTATAACTAGTTAGCGAAGAACTAAAAATGTTATGATGTTTCGTGGAAGCGGCACAGGTTTGAATAGTATTGTTAAGAATTTATTTTTAAATACTTTTTTAAAATGTTTTTTGTAGTTTTGTGCATTTTAATGTTTTTAATGTACTGTTGATTATTTGTTATTAATTATTATTTTTTTAAATTTAGTTGAATAGGTGCGTATATGTACAAACATCAACAGACCTGCGTCATCCATACATGCAAGGTTTTGAGGTGCACAAAGCCACGAAGGCACCAGAGACGCCAAAACTCATAATAAAAATGGATAATGTTTCCTCATTATATAAAATATTTTCTTTTTTAGTTGTACATTTTTGTAAATAATATATATATGTATGTATTGGTTTCAGTGGCGTAGGATGGTTTTTAAATGCTTGAAATAACCGACTTTTAAACAAAAAGTAAATTTTTTTATGTTCATATGTACAATGAAAAGATTCTTTACAAAAAAAATTATTATGATATAATGGGAACATGAAACCCTAAAATCTTAGCCCCCCTCTCTACCCTAAACATGAGGGCTATAAGTTGAATTATTTATTTTTTCATAAATATAAACTACACTATGACAAATATATTCCGGTACAATCTTGTGTTAACAATTTCTCGTTATTTTATTAATTTATTGTTCATCAAAAAAAAATTTAAAAGTACCGGTATGTTATCTAATTGTAAAATGCAAATCAATTTTGTAATTTAAATTAATAGAAATAATATTTCTAGCTATGAAAGTGTATAGAGAAATAATTATTGAAAAAAGTGCAAGGAAAATTTGACTGATTTTTTAACCAAAGAAGAATGGCCTCCTAGCTCACCAGACTGCAATCCACTTGATTATTTTGTATAGTCTTATATGTTAGCTAATCTTAACGATTACAAGTTTTCAAATTTGTAGCAATTTAAGAAAGTTATTAGCAAAATGCCGTTGGAAACTGTGCGTGCTGCGTGTAATGATTTTGGAAGCTGGCCATCAAGGTTGAAGGGGATGTTATTCCAAAACATTTACTATAATTTATTAAGTATTATGTCAACTTTTAAGTTCTAAATAAAGCCTTTTGAAATTAAGTTTTTTTTTGATAAAAAAGATATATGTATTTTTGTTTGTACCAAAATATATTGTCATGGTGTTTATGTTATGTATCCATTGACAGATTTCAAATTTTATGTTTAAATTATATATGCTATTTTTATGACCATTTAGAGTTTGTGGCCCCCTCAAAATGAGGGAGGGGGGGTATTCTTTACATGGTCATAAAAAAAGAACACTATAACACTAATAATTTAATATTGTGCTAGGTATCAATCTGTTACTGAAAATCCGTTATTTAACACTACAGCCTCTTTTTTAGACACGAAGTTTTACGTATTGGAGAAACCGTCTGATGAAATTCTTAACTTCATTAATACTATTGTTGATAGGTTCAAGTCTACCTTGTTAGCAAACAAATGCAATTTTGAAGTGAAGTTGAAATATTTGAAGTGAAGTTGAAATATTATATGAGCATATCATGCACTAATTAGCTCATAAAAGTCCTTCAAAACTTTAACAAGCAATACTTTTATTTAAGTATGAGCTAGGCATTTTAAACATTTTACAAATAGCTGAAATTTCCATTGCATTACCTATAAGTAAAGCGGAGTCTTATCGTGTATTCTCTTTTCTATGAAAAGTATTTTCTAAAACTTGCCAATCATTATCTAATCAAACCTTAGAAAATATTCTTCAGCTCAGATGTGAATCTTCTGAAAGCCATTATAAGTGCGCCATAGAAATGTATTTAACAGAGCATCCTGATGGTGGAGTCAGAAAACAAGTTTGTCAATCAGACAGTCATTTGTATCCAAAAACGTGCTTTAAACAACTCTAGTCAGAAAACAATGACACGATTATTAGAAAACATCACTTCATCCAAAGAAGAATCTATTGAAGACATTGACATTAGTTTAATCTCTGACGAAGAATGGTCATCGTTATCTGAAGATGCTTTTTTATGAAATATAGATTCTGATCGCTAAATTTATTTTGTTATTTTGTTTTAAGTTTGACTGTGAAATTTTTTTTGCCAACTTGATGCTAACCTGAAGTGGTTTTAGGTTGGCAATTTTTTGCCGACCTCATTTTTCCTAATTCTGAGGGTTGCACAATGATTATATTTTAGTACTATGATTTTAGTACACAAATGTGTCGCATACTCTTAAAAAATTTAAATTTTTTAAGAGTATGCGATTTAAAAAATGTTTATACAAAAACCTGGTATATGGTAAACATTTGTATAACTATTTCAAAATTAAAACTAAAAAAAAAAAACTTAAAAATTTATGTTAGCTACTGGGAAGTGTGTTTAAAAGTTGTTGTTGTTGTGTTTTTTTTGAGGGAAGGGGGGGGGGTGATGTTTTGTAGTTAGCTCTAAGAACAGATAGGATGTGTTCACAACAACACATACTGTGTTGCGTTCACAAACATTTTAAAAGCAACCGTTTGTTTACACCCACTCACTTAGATAAAGTGATATCAAAACAATAAAAAGTTGTCAATTTATCAAAATTGACAATTTTTATATCATATTTATATGTACAGAATTATGTTTATATTTACAAAATTATGTTTATATGTACAAAATTATGTTTATATGTACAAAACTATGTTTATATGTACAAAATTATATTTATATGTACAAAATTATTTCAATAAAACAACATTTAAACCAAAGGTTAGTTAATTATAAAATTTGCTATTTAAATATATTAGGTCAGGTCAGGTTTTCCTGCTACTAAATATATTTTATTTAGTTTTGCTACTAAATATATTTTATTGCTACTGCTACTAAATATATTTACTGCTACTAAATATATTTTATTTAGACCTGACCTAAATATTAGGTCAGGTCAGGTTTTCCTGCTACTGGTAACATGTAACCCAGTACAACCTGCTCCATGTCCTGCTGCCTTGTAGGATACGCTTTTTTTAGGCAAAGGCTAGGAGAAGTTAACTCCGAATTAAAACACCCCCTGCCTTGGGGCTCTTGGTTGAGTAAAGGCTAGAGATGGTGTCTCGATAAAAATACTCATCTTGGGCAGATGTTACATGCATCCAGCTGCTGTCTTGTAGAAGGCCTCCTAGGCAAAGACTTAAGGGGTAAACAGATTCTATCTGTTGACCAGCCTCGCACCCCTTCCTCATCTATTAGGCTGGCGCAGATGTATTTTTAATACATTGTTTCCAGTTTAGGATGTTGAACGCTGGATCTTCTTGACTCAATGCGTGGGTATTGCTTGTGTCTCTATTTTTATGACTGGGCAACTCATTCTATTATCTCCTAATGAGGGTACAGCTCTAAAACTCAGTTTTATGGTTCTGAGGCCGGCTGGTAGTCAGGTTTCCCGAACTCTGTGGTAGCTCTCAGAGAGGCTGATTCCATCAACAGCCGAAAAATATCAGAGTACTAACAGTGCCATGTTGCGCATGGATGGTGTCCCTGTTTGTACTTTTGGTGTGCATTGCAGAGGCCACATTTGGAGCCCTTTGTTACGGCTTAGGGTTTATTAATAGTAATGAGGCTATTGCTTAGTTGTTAAATAGTGTACTAAGTACTATCTATACTTGAGTCAAGTTCTTTATAAATTTAAAATGACTAAAGTACCTAAAACTAAAAAACACAAAAAACCATTGTCATCACTAAGTTCTCTAAACCTATCATTTACTAATATTCGTGGTCTTCGAAGTAACTTTTCTTCTGTTGAGTCTTATCTCTTGCAAAGTTCACCAGACCTACTTGCTCTTTGTGAGACTAATTTGAGTTCGGCTGTCCCATCTTGTGATCTTAGTGTTGATGGTTATCTTCCTTTAATTCGTAAAGACTCCAATAATCACATGCTTGGCCTGGGCATCTACATTCGTAAGAACTCACCCATTTGTCGTGAAACTAGGTTTGAATCTACAGACTATTCATTTATGTGCTTTCGTTTAGCACAACTTCATTCTATCGCCTTTCTCTTTGTTCTATATCGCTCTCCTTCATCCCAAGATTGCACTATTCTTGATGTTATTTCTGATCAAATTGACCAAGCCCTCTCTCTTTATCCATCGGCCAATATCGTCGTTGTTGGTGACTTTAATGCCCATCACACCGATTGGCTTGGCTCTAGTGTCAGTGACTCTGCTGGCGTTAAGGCCCTCAACTTTTGCCTTTCTCAATCTCTAACTCAAATAGTCAACTTTCCAACTCGTTTTCCAGACAACCCTAATCATTTACC